TTTCAGTAGTGTGTGTGAGAGCGTTTCAGTAGTAATGTCCCTTACGGCACCTCATAAAATCTCTCCTTTCCAGATGTGCAAGGTGCCAATTCCATAGGCACTGATTTACCCCGACACCATCAGAAATGCAGGCCTTTGAACTGAGTGCTGATAACAAGCCGGGAGGTCCCTTATCTGGCCTTGCCTTTTATAAACAGGGATTCTCCAGATTCTCTAAATATTTTGATAATGTTATCTACTATAGATGATGAAATATTGAAAGTCTTCACAATTTTACTCAAGGAATATTATCCTTAAGTTGTGCCACAATTTCTACCACTTGCTTTTCCATGTTGGTCCTGATACATTTGAAGTGAGTTGTTTTGTTTCACGAAATAGAAAATGTCTCAGTTTAAATATTCAGTGTGTTTTCTATGTCCTATTATAAATAAAATATTGAACTTATCTGGATTGGGATTCATTTTTGCAAATCATTTTGTTCTGTTTATCTTTAATTTTATAACTTTTTTCTTCAACTTACTTAAGAACCATAGACAAAACTGTTCTGAACACCTACGGTGTTGTAGGTCAAAATATACTGATGACAAATACTCGTAAAAAAAAAAGTAGCAGCTAGAAAGGCTACAAAGGCTAATATTTGTTCTAAGCATGATGTGCCAGTTGATTTGTTATATGATAAATGAGCCAGCAGAGATTTATAGTCCTCCTGAGGTTTGACTCCAGGAGAAAAAAAGTATGTTGTTTTGTGGGTCGATATCCTAATGTTCCAGATCTACCTTTCAACAGAGACCTCAGTAGAAATTGGTGCAGGAACCCTGATGGAGATCAAGCTCCTTGGTGTTACACTACAGACCCCACAGTTCGCTGGGAGTACTGCAACTTGGAGAAATGCCCTACAAAACCTTCAGGAACCACTCGTCCTCAACCACAGGAGCCCTCCACTAACACCCAGACACCAGCAGAAAGAGGTAAATCAACTTTTTTAAAAATGGGGATTTGCCAACATTTTGCTTGCTTGTCAGTTTTTTTGTCAGTTCTTTCACTTTTCCTGGTTCTCTGCTGCTGTTTTAGACTGCAAGACTGGAAATGGAGAAACATACCGAGGTCCAACTTCTGTTACTGTGCTGGGTGTGACCTGCCAGGCGTGGAGCGCTCAGACTCCTCACGAACACAGCAGCTTCACTCCAGAGACTCACGCCAACAAAGGTCTGGAAGGCAATGTAAGTGTGTGGGTGTTGCTATATAAACACTTTGGGGAAAGGGCAGAACTCTTTGTTTTTTTCTCTAGCCATCTAACTCTCCCCCTCTGTCCACTCTCAGAGCTGCAGAAACCCAGACGGTGATGTGAATGGACCATGGTGCTACACTACAGACAGAAACAAAAAATGGGATTACTGCCAGATCTCCGACTGTGGTTTGTATATTCAGTATATTTTATTTGTATTCGCAATAATACTCCATCACTGTGACTCTACAGTTGCTCAGTCACAACTGCAGACTGCAGTGATAACCAGTGTTGGGCAAGTTAGAATAGAATAGCTTTTTATTGTCACTGTTACAAGAACAATGAAAGGCAGTTTGGCATCTCTCCATGTGTGTGGAGTACACAATAGCGTAAGTATTTACACAATAACAGACAAATTTACATTTACATAAGAAAGATATGTACAAGTTATACATGCACCTGCAAACATACACGCACATACAGTGGCTTTCAAAAGTATTCG